AGTAGTAGTAGTAGTAGTAGTAGTAGTAGTAGTAGTAGTAGTAGTAGTAGTAGTATAACCGTTGAATTCCAATTGAATCTGAAATCGATTTAGTTGTAAATACTATGCTCATTAGTGTAGATTAGACGAGATCGCAGCGTGGGTCGCGGTCACGCGCCAGGGAGCGAGTATTTCACGCCGATTTCGCCGCGCGCGCACTTCATGCATTATTAATGCAAAATACTGCTTTATGAATTTTTCACAGAGGGTCGATCGCCGAGGGAAGAGCGCAGGTACGTTCGGACTGTATAGCGGCCGCAGCGAGAGATGGCGTACGACATGCAAGGTTTGTGTTGCTTCTCGTGTGCATGCCGCGCGGCGACGACGTATACCGACTACCGCGGCGCGACAACGCGACGCTGCTGCCACCGCTGCGCGCACAGCGACGCCGCGACCACGCCGTCGCGCGCGCCCGCGCATCTCTTGCTCTAGCGATGTATACGTGGCGGGTAGGAAGGCAGGAGCGCGCACGCACCTCACGCGCACCGCGTCAGCACAGTGCGAGAAGATGATGACAGGAAGATGATGGCAGGAAGATGATGACAGGAAGATGATGACAGGAAGATGATGACAGGAAGATGATGAACACACACACACACACACACACACACACACACACACGCACGCGCGCGCGCTAGATTCGCGTCTTTATGAGACGACATGCGACAAATATTGCAAAGATTGACTTCGTGTTATCATAATCCTAATGAAATAGTCCGTGCTAATGTCATGCTAGCTGATGTTAGTTTGCCCGAATCGATGCGAAAATGAGTTCGGGGCCAGCACATCTAGCACTTCTGCCGACATATCTGGAAATGCACGCACTGATTTTAAGTGAAGACGGGACGAAAACTTCTCTACCGACTCGCCCAACTCATGGTTGATGGTGTACCAACTCTGGATCGCTGCTTGACGTTGTACCGGTGTATCCTCCAATAGTTTAGCGCTCGCGCCGCAGAGTAACTTAGCTTTTCATCTGCTGTAAGGCGATTGAACTTGTTGAGAGCTTCGTCACGTAGGCTGACTCGTAGCCATTTTGCTGCTACACTGTCTGACTAGTCATTTAACTCATTGTACGTATTGAAACGGTTCAAGAAATCAGTAAAATTTGGTTGACTTCCGCTCAGCAATGGCGGTGCAGATATCGTGTGACTTCGACTTGACTGTCGCTCTGCAGTGGTATCCGACTGATACATGGTTCCGATGAATCCGCTGCCACCAGTGTAATAAACGTATAAGTACCAGTGTAATGACGTTTAGTACCAGTGTGATAACGTACGCTGGCACTAGTGTAATGACGCTGCAGAGTAATAACGACAACGACTCTCCAGTATATAGTAACCGAGTTTATTAGAACGACCAGCAACGGTACGACAACACTTCGATGACAACAGCTCGATCACAACTGTTATAAACAAATTACTACAAAATTATTACAAACAAAGCGCGTCAGATGATTGCAGATTCCAAATGAGACAGCGTCACAGGTTCGTTGTAACTCTGTCTTTATTAGTACTTGACACATACAATATTATTTACAACATATATAGATATACAACCTATGTAACCATGCCTAGGTCCTGCGCTTCGTCTCCCGTTCTCCGTGTCTCTAAATAGTAACTGAACTGTGTATATCTGTGTGTAACTGACTAATGTGTCGTCACTCTCGATCTCATATATATACTCATTCAAGGGCGTATCGGCACTTCGATCCACAATCCGATATATTGTCCAGCTGCTCATTCTAGTGATAACACATTGTCAATTATCTCTCAACGTGCGCGTGGGGCTAGGGCAACGGTGTCTTATGTTATTACAATAATATCAAGAGCGTATTAAGAAGCTTCTTCATAATCATTCACCATAATTCTTCTTGCATATCGTCTGATAATATGAGGAGAATAAACTGCAACAAGGAGGCGCTGCGTAAACCTGGGTACTGGCGTACTCGGCGTACCTGGCAGGTACTGGCGTAGCCTGGCGTAACTGGACAGTACTGGAGCTGGAAAAAAAACGCTATGGCGTACCTGGCGTACCTGGCCAGCGTAATTAGCCGCACGCCTCCACGCCAGTTAGCTTTCAATACTTACGCCAAGATGGCGACGAGGCGTCGATCATCGCTGACTGTTCACATCTTAGAGCCATCTTACGCAGTATACATATAAAATAAAAGGCACGCCGCGGCACAATTAAGCTGCTATATGCGAAAGTACGCTGCACACGCACAGCCGCGCGCCCCCATATATATATAATATATATATATATATTCAGAAACGAGCGTCATATAGACTCCTGATATATATATATATATATAATATATATATATATATATAATAATATAATATATATAATAACATCCGTAAGCATCCGGTGGTCCCAAATGAAACTGCTATTATTATATGCGAATAAGAAAATTGCACATGCTCATATATTATACTAGTTACTAACATAGCCATATGCACACGCGCACCCCATATGCATAGCTTAGACGTCAAACGTGAGCGCGTACGTCCTATGACTCGAACGCACAAAGACGCGCGCGGCGGAAATATGGGGCGCCAGTGTGCGATGACTGATTTCGTTACGATCAATGATTTTGTAACGAAATCAAGTCTACAAAGTGATTTCGTTACGAAATCAACTACTGCGAGTGATTTCGTTACGAAATCAGCTACTGCGAGTGATTTCGTTACGAAATCAGCTACTGCAAGTGATTTCGTTACGAAATCATGCTACACTTGGCGCCCCGGCACGCCAAGTGTCGCATGACTTTATTTCGTTACAAAATCAAGTCTACAAAGTGATTTCGTTACGAAATCAACTACTGCGAGTGATTTCGTTACGAAATCAACTACTGCGAATGATTTCGTTACGAAATCAACACTATGCGAATGATTTCGTTACGAAATCAACTACTGCGAGTGATTTCGTTACGAAATCAGCTACTGCGAGTGATTTCGTTACGAAATCAGCTACTGCGAGTGATTTCGTGACGAAAGCATGCGACACTTGGCGCGCTGGCGCGCCAAGTGTAGCATGACTTGATTTCGTAACGAAATCAAGTCTACAAAGTGATTTCGTTACGAAATCAACTACTGAGCGTTATTTCGTTACGAAATCATGCGACACTCGGCGAGCCGGCGCGCCAAGTGTAGCATGACTTGATTTCGTTACGAAATCAGCTACTGCGAGTGATTTCGTAACGAAATCATGCTACACTTGGCGTGTGGGGCGCCAAGTGTCGCATGACTGATTTCGTTACGAAATCACTGATCCTCCTGAAAATCGTCCTCCTTCTCCACCAGCTTCTCCCTTCTCCCCCTCCTCCTCCACCAGCTCCCTTCTCCCCCTCCTTCTCCCCTTCCTCCTTCTCCACCAGCTTCTCCCCTCCTCCTCTCCTCCAGCTTCTCCCATTCTCCTTCTCCACACCTTCTCTCTTCTCCCTTCCTCCTTCTCCACCAGCTTCTCCCCCTCCCCACAACCTTCTCCTTCTCCCCTCCTCCTCCACAGCTCCCTTCTCCTCCTCCTTATCCCCTTCCTGCTTCTCCCCTCCTCCTCACCAACTCCTTCTCCCCCTCCTTCTCCCCTTCTACCTCCTCTCCACCAGCTCTCTCCCCTCCTTCTTCTCCACCAGCTTCTCTTCCCCCTCCCACTTCTCCTTCTCCCCTCCTCCTTCCTCCACACAGTTCTCCCGCTCCTCCTTCTCCACCACCTTCTCCTCTCCCCTTCCTCTTTCTCTACCAGCTTCTCCCCCTCCTCCTTTCCCACCACTTCTCCCTTCTCCCCTTCTTCATTCTCCACCACTTCTCCCCTCTCGTTCTGCCACCATTTCCCCCTCCTCCTTCTCCACCACCTTTTCCCTTCTCCCCTTCCTCCTTCTCCACAGCTTCTGCCCCTCCTTCTTCCATAGCTTCTCCCCTCCTCCACCACCTTCTCCTCCTCCTTCTACACAGCTTCTCCCTCCTCTTCTCCACCACCTCCCTTCTCTTCCTCCTTCGCCACAGCTTCTCCCCTCCCCCTTCTCCACCACCTTCTCCCTTCTCCCCTCCTCCTCTTCACATCTTCTCCCCCTCCTCCTTCTCTACCAGCTTCTCCTTCTCCCCTTCCTCATTCTCCACCAGCTTTCTCCCCTCCTACTTCTCCACCAGCTTCTCCCTTCTCTTCTCACCACCTTCTCCTTCTCCTTCCTCATTCTCCACCAGCTTCTCCCCCTCCTCTCTCCACCAGCTTCTCTCCTCTCCTTCTCCACCACCTCACCATGCTCCTCCTCCTGTACCGGCCTGAATATAGACAACCCCGTTCCGATTTCCTAAATTCCCGCAGTCCACATCCTAGACTGGTACTCGCTCCCATCTTGATTACTCGATGGTAACTAAGCCCATCGAGTAACTAAGCCGAGAGGTGGGACCGGGTACCAGTCTATCCACATCCATGCACGCACGCCCCCATGTATGCATATTTTTTCATTTTTCTATCTTTATCCATTTAACTATTTTTTCCCGCAATATAATAAATAATAATAACGCAAATATTTACATGATTTATTTGTAGACTTGATTTCGTAACGAAATCACTTTGTAGACTTGATTTCGTTACGAAATCAGTCATGCGACACTTGGCGCCCTTACGCAAGTGTAGCATGATTTCGTAACGAAATCACTCGATTGTAGTAGCTGATTTCGTAACGAAATCACTTTGTAGACTTGATTTCGTAACGAAATCACTTTGTAGACTTGATTTCGTAACGAAATATCACTTTGTAGACTTGATTTCGTTGCGAAATCAATGATTTAGTAACGAAATCAGCCATGCGACACTTGGCGCCCTTACGCCAAGTGTAGCATGATTTCGTAACGAAATCACTCGATTGTAGTAGCTGGTTTCGTCACGAAATCACTTTGTAGATTTGATTTCGTAACGAAATAACTTTGTAGACTTGATTTCGTAACGAAATATCCTTGTAGACTTGATTTGCGTACGAAATCAATGAATGTAGGTAAGAAATGCAATGCTACCGACTTGGCGATAAGGGGCAAGGTGTCGCATGCCTTGATTTCGTTACTAAATCAATATGATTTCGTAACAAATCAAGTCTACAAAGTTGATATTTCGTTAGGCGAAATCACAAGTCATACAAGAGTTATTTCGTCGAAATCAAATTACAAAGTGATTTCGTACGAATCAGCTACTTACATCGAGTGGATTTCGTTCAGAATCATGCTACACTTGGCGTAAGGGCCAAGTGTGCATGGCTGATTTCGTTACAACATTCATTGCATTTCGCAACAGATCAGGTCTACAAAAGTGAGTATTTCGTTACGAATCACAGTCTACTAAAGTGATTTCGTTACGAAATCAACTAGCTCGCGAGTGATTCGGTGACGAAATGCAGCTCTCAATCGAGTGATTCGTTACGAAATCATGCTAAGCACTGGCGTAAGGGCGCCAAGTGTTCGCCATGGCTGATTTCGTTCTAAATCATTGAATTTCGTACACGAAAATCAAGTCTACAAAGTGATATTTTCGTTACGAATTCAAGTTCTACAAAGTGATTTCGTTACGAATCAACTACTAGCGAGTGATTTCGTGACGAAGATCAGCTACTACAATCGAAAGTGATTTTCGATTACGAAATCATGCTACACTTGGCGTAGGCCCAAGTGTCGCACGCTCGATTATCGTTACTAAATCTTCGATTTCGTAACGAAGATCAGTCTACAAAGTGCATATTTCGTACATAAATCCAAGTACTAGCAAAGTGATTTCTTACGAAATCAAGTCTACAAAGTGATTTCGGTTACGAAATCAGCTACTACAATCGAGTGATTTCCGTTACAATCATTGCTACACTTGGCTAAGGCGGCCAAGTGTGCGCATGACTGATTCGTAAGCGAAATCAAATGTCATCCAAAGTGTTTTCGTACGAAATCAAGTCTACAAATAAATCATGTAATATATTCTGCGTTATTATTATTTATTATATGCGGGAAAAGAATAGGTTAAATGGATAAGATAGAAAAATAAAAAATATGCGCATACATGGGGGCGTGCGTGCAATGCGATGTGGATAGACTGTACCCGGTCCCACTTCTCGGCTTCAGTCTACTCGATGGGCTTAATTACATCGAGAATCAAGATGGGAGACGAGTACAGTCTTAGGATGTGGACTGGGAATTAGGAAATGAAGCGGCGGTTGTCTATATTCAGGCGGTACAGGAGGAGGAGCATGGTGACGGTGCGTGGGAGAAGGAGGAGGAGAGAAAGCGCTGGTGCGAGAAGGAGGAGAGGGAGAGCAATGTGTGCACGAATGAGGAAGGGGAGAAGGTTGTGAGAAGGGAAGCTGCCCCCGGAAGAAGACTGGCGGAGAAGCGCGGGGAGAACTGTGGAGGGAGAGTGGGTGGAAGCGGAACGGGAGAAGGAGAGAAGCTGTTAGACGAGGAAGGAGGCGAGAAGATGGTGAAGGAGGAGGAAGGGGAGAACGGGAGGAAGGTGGAGAAGGGGGAGGGGAGAACTAGGTGGAGAGGAGGAAGGGAGAAGGGCGGTGGTGGAGAAGAGGAGGCGAGAAGTCTGGTGGAAGAAGGAGGAGGGAGAAGGTGGTGGAGGCAGGGGGAGAAAGCTAAGTGCGAAAGGAGGGCGAGAAGCTGGGTGGAGAAGAGGAAGGGGAGAACGGGAAAAGGTGGGAGAAGGAGAGGGGAGAAGCTGGTGGGGAGAAGGAGGAAGGGAGAAGCTGGGGAGAATGAAGAAGGGGAGAAGGGAGAAGGTGGTGGAGAAGGAGGAGGCGGAGAAGCTGTGAGAAGGAGGAAGGGGAGAAGGAGAGAAGGTGGTGGGAAGAGAGGAGGAAAGCCTGTGGAGAAGGAGGAGGGGGAGAAGGGAAGAGGTGTGGAGGAGAAGAGATAGCGCTGGTGGAAACCGAAGGAGGGGAGAAGTCTGGTGGAGAAGGAGGGAGGGAGAAAGAGCGGGAAGAAGGGAGTTTGGTGGAGGAGGAGGCGGGAAGAGGAGAAGGGGAATAAGGAGGAGGAGAAGGGAGCTGGTGGAGGAGGAGGGGAGAAGGAGAAGGTTTGGAGAGCGGGAGAAGCTGCGTGGGAGAAAGGAGAGAGAAGGTGGTGGAGAAGGAGAATGAGCAGAAGCTGGCTGGAGAAGGAGGAGGGGAGAGCTGGCTGGAGAAGAGGAAGGGAGAAGGAGGGGAGGAAGGGAGCTGGTGAGGAGGCAGGGGAGAGAGGGAGAAGCTGGTGGAAGGCAGGCACGATTTTCAGGAGGCATCAGTGATTCGTAACGAATCAGTCATGTCGACAACTTGGCGGCCCCACACCGCAGTGTAGCATATTTCGTTACGAAATCATTCGCAGTAGCTGATTTCGTAACGAAATCAAGTCATGCTACGACTATGCGGCGCCGGCTCGCCGGGGAGTTTTTTTGTATCGCATTTGATTTCGTAACGAAAACCGCTCAGTAGTTTGATTTTGCGTATCGAAATCAATTTGTAGACTGATGTTCCTTACGAAATCATAGTTCCATGCTACACTTGGCGCCGCCAGCCGGCCAAGTGCGCATGCTTTGTCCGATCACCGCAGAGTGATTCTAACGATCAGCTGAGTAGCTGATTTCGTAACGAAATCACCTCGCAAGTAGCTTGATTTTCGTACGATAATCACTCGCAGTTAGTTGATTTCGTAAACGAAAATCATTCGCAGTATTGATTTCCGTAACGAAATCACGTGATTGATTTGTAACGAATCTTGTATTATTTGTTAACGAAATAAAGTCATGGACACTTGGCGTGCCCGGGGCGCCAGTGGTTAGCATGATTTCGTAACCGAAATTCACATTCAGTAGCTAATTTCGTAAACGAAGAAACTCGCAGTAGCCCGCCCGCTGGAAAACAATTCGTACGAAATCACTCGCACGTAGTTCATTCGTAACGAAATCACTTTGTAGAACTTGATTTCCTTTAGCCGAAAAATCATATGATTTCGTACACGAATCAGTTATTGCGACACTTGGCGCCCCATACGGAAATAGCTAAATGTCCGACCCCCGTAGCGACAGATCCGCCATTAGCTGATAGCGGCGCCATATATTCGGCGCCATATATATATATTCGGCGGGTGAACCAGAGCGGGATATACGTACGACTCTACGATACATCTCTACTCTGCCACGGTTCTACGCTACAATCTACAATCTCTACGCTACTCTTTGCTAACGAAACTACGCTGCTACATTCTACGAGAACCTGAAGTTATCACCAAAACGAAGTACATGAGTGGCCACTCTCAGATTTCTAGTCCTCCATAGACGCCTGCACTTGTGGTGGCTAAAAGCGAGCTGACCCAGTGAGGTGACTCAGCGAGAAGAATTTTGGTTTGGCAGATCACTCCCCGGCACGCCCCAAACGTACAATTTGAGCGCTCAACAAGTTGATAGCAACTAGTTGAGAGATTCGAACATGTTATTCGATTTTCTATTTTCGCATCTTTTGATCAGCGAGTTTTTGCTACTCAGCTACTCCGATATTAGCAATCAGGGGGTGTGCGCGGCAGTGTGCCTCCACCTAGCGAGAGAGCACGTTATTGTTATCGGCGCCACAATGGCGCGTACAAAAATGCGTATCCACGTCGCGCCGCGCGCACACTGCGACGTGTTAAATGTTGAAACGTTTGCCGACTCGCGGTCGATAACGTAAAAACTTTGAACATCTGATAGTAAGGTTGATAGATCGTTGAAAAGTTTATCAACGCGTCGAATTTACCATAGTGTAAATGATAAATAAATAAATAAAAACTAAATGAGTGAATAATAACGTTTGATTTTATTCACTCCTGATATTTCTCGTAATATAAGAACGTAGTCTCGCAGTTCTACGTTCTACGCGGTTCTACGTCCTTGGCCGTTGACAGAAAATTTGTAGTTGTACCTAATTGACCAATTCTAGCAAATTCTTGTGTCTACAATAACCTGATAATGTCTACAGTATGTCCTAATATGTTTTGCGCCCGCTTGTAGCTAATGCATTTCGATGCAAGTATATTGACACGATATAATCAAATATAATACCATACAATATACTACTATATAATTATATCGATACTATAATTGGTATTTCCCGGCTAAAGCTTTAATCGTAATCGTCGTCTTAATTCCTGATCGCTTTTCTCAACACAAACAATCACGGAAGTGTTGGTTGCATCAAACTGATGACATTCTGATTACAATTACCATAATATGGATTCCTGCTGTCTGCTGTTAGCTGAGATGGGGTTCTTACACGCCATTTCACGTGCGGTAACACTAGTAGACGCAAGTATGTTGTTCCAATACAATTCTAATGGTGATCGTCGACCAGATGTAATTTGACCACTGCGTTGCTCAGTCCCCAATATAGCGACTGCGAAACATATACGTTTCTCACAAAGGTCACAGATACCTGTCGCGAACATGATCATCATCTAGTCGCGTGGTCATGTTATCAACTTTTATTAACGCGCGTGTCTATTCTCGCATGTTCTAGCGCGTTCTAGCGCGCGTGTCTATTTACGCATGGTTTCCATGTATGTATGTATGTGTGCGCGCGTGTGTGTATGTATGTGTGTGTGTGTGTGTGTGTGTGTGTGTGTGTGTG